GCAGGTGACAAACACAGAGTGAAGTGACGATAACATAGAGTGGAGATACACGTAGAGTCCATGGAGTCAAGTACATCGAGTACCCTCAACCCTAAACCCTAAGTACATAGACGATAATAGATGATAAACATAGAGTCACGATAAACATAGAGTCAAGTACATGTAAGGTGTAGTAGATAGAGTCGAGTGCGGGTGACAACAGAGTGAAGTGACGATAAACATAGAGTGGAGATACACGTAGAGTCCATAGAGTCAAGTACATCGAATACCCTAAACCCTAAACTCTAAACCTGGACTTTGTACTTGATGACTCTATGCACTTGACTCTGTGACAATATGACTCTATGCACTNNCACTAGATTCTATGTACTCAAACTGTGCACTTGACTGTATGACTTTATGTACTTCACTCTATGACTTTATATAGCGCTAAACTCTTGGCAAATGATGCTTTCGGGCCACTCGTCTTCTAGTTTTTTTTAACTCTTCAGTGCACCTTGTGGCAAGGCTTGGCCACCAGACGCGAAGAGTTGGGAGTGGCAGGGGCCTGCTCTTGGGACCTGTGCGCGGCCGAAGCTCTCGCCGCAACATTGCCCCTTGGCTTTGGCCTGGCCTCTTCAGTGCGAGTTAGAGACAATTGGTCTTGTAATTTCGGGCGTTGCAGAGGGCGCCAGCTTTTTGTTTCAAGGTTTGGCCGCTTTCATGTTGGAGAGAACGGGGGGCGCTGCAGCGGTCAGCGGCCTCCTCGCCCGCTCCATGGAGGGGGGGTTCCTGGCGCAGTGCATCTTCACAGCGGCCCTGGACGGCTGAGCCTTGCAAGCATCTGCTTTTAAGCAGCCTTGCATTAGCGCTCCTCCGCCACATAATTACTAGCAACCTAGCAAGTTCGTGATCACTTCCTCCTTTTTCTCCTGTTCTGAGGTCCGGCGCAGGTGCATGTGAAGATCGTGTCTGGCCTCTGCGAGACGCTCTGCCTGGAGCTTCTGCCGGAAGAGCTCTTAAGTTTACCGATCAAGGAGCTGGAGAGCGAGCGCCGTTCCTCCCTCCGCCAGGCAGGATGAAAGCAACCTCCCCAGACGCGTAAGCCTCGTTCCGCTTGAACCTGTTTCGTTGCTTTCTTGTCTGTCATGTGCCCAAAGCTGCGTTCGGATTTTGGTCGTGCATTCTCGAACCTTGTGGGTCTGTTTTTTATTTTCCGAAACTTGTCACTTGCCGGGGCAAGTTCTGAGGCGGGTTCGGAGGGTGGGTTCAGGTTCCAAGGCGGGCATGGGAGGTTCTGGCGGTTAGGTTCGGTTCAGGTTCTGGGTTCTCTAGCCGGTTCCGGCCGGGATTCCGGGGAGGTTCCGGACAGGTTCCGGGCAGAGTTCGGGCAAGTTGAGCCGCTGCTTTGCAGTTCGTCTCATGGATATGTCTGAAGAATTTTGTCTCTCCTATGGTTTTTGGAGCATGGACAATGCTGCTCCGACTCGTCCGTCTGCATTGCTATGAGACGCAGACGGTCTTTGAGGTCACACACAGTGTTGCACCTGTTCCGGGTGAGATTTGCGACACGAGCGACGACAACGTTCTCATAACCAAGGGCTGTGCTGTTGCGAATGCACGGCCTTTTCAGTTGATTCAATCTATCCTGCACCTGCACTCACTTGACTCCAACATGCGACCTTCAACAGAGCCAGGCACGGAATTTCCTGTGCTGAAGAGGTTTCTGATTGTACTCATCGTGAAGCTGTACTCTGTATCTTTTTCCTTATTGACTGGATATGGGCAGGTGCTGGTGCCTCGGTTCTGCGTGGCCATTGGGAAGTGTGCTGCTGCCCTGTCGGAGGATTCCCAATTGGCCAGGCCAGGCCCGGCGACCCAGTTCAGGTTGACATGGAGTGCGCATCTGAACAGGCTGATGGACCCGTTGGAGCAGTGGGCACTGGCTGTGAGCTGTCATCCAAATGCCGGATCTTCACAACCAGCAAGGCTTGGAGTAGTGAGTGCTCGCGATGCACAGCAAGCCTTGCGACGGGGGGTGGGGTGAAGTACCGAATGTTACACATTCCGGGCATTCTTGATTGCACGTATCACTTGCATGTTTCCGTGTCTGTGTGCTCAAGGTTCTAGCATAGCAGAGTATCTGGACTTCAGCCGGATAGCTGTAAAAGAGACTCTTGTGTGCTTGTGT